TTTGATTTATCTTTTTCCTGTAGTGAAAGAAAAGGCTTGGTCTCTTTAACTATAAACTTTGATTTGGAACTGTAGCCCCCCACCCCTCCGCCCCAGTGCCTCTTTGTTACGAAGATTATTTCAGGGGCAGGACAATTAAGGGCTTGACTCTGGAAGAAAGTTTGATCTTCCCCTTAACTTCCTGAAAGAACTTGCATAGAGAGTCTGTTCCTGGAATAGAGCTACCCCAGATACTTCAGCAGAAAGTATGGACTCAGTGTGGTGGGGGGAACCCCTAGAGACCGGGGTCCGCTCTGGGTCCCACTGTCTCTGCAGGCCCAGCAAACATTTATTTACCAAACATTTGCTGCTCCATCTCCATGTGAATTTCCTTCCTCCCCTCTGAAGTCCCAGACCCCTACCCTCAACAGCCTCTTTTGTCTTTAGCAGAAGATGGTGTGTAAGGTGAGGGCTTGGGCCATTTTGGTGAGTTACTTTCTTTTCCTGGGTCTCTCCCATGGATGCATATTTCTGAGTCTTTAATCTGGGAAGCAAACTCACTCAGAAGCACAATGCAGATAGTGGAGTGCAGTTTACTACACCGGCGGGCCCAAGGCAGTGTCTCCCCAAGGACCCTGACCAGTTTTTGTGAAAACCTTATATACCCTAAATGTACATGCTCAAGCCCACCTCCCTAAATTCTCTGAAACTAGTCTGAACAAAGGAAAAGAAAGATACAATGAGAGTTAACCCGTGATTCCTATTCCTTAAACCTAGGTAGTTAACAGTGGACAATCATCAATAGGCCTGTGGTCCTACCCCAATAAGCATAATAGAATTTATGATTCTATTTGGTTACACCGATAATTAGGGTATTCTTTTAGGTGACATTGAGTCTAGGTACAAGCCCTGGGGCTCTTCCTTGCGGGGGGGTTGGTGGGGGGGTTGGGGACGCGGTCTGATTTTCCAGTTGGTGTATCGTTTCCATTGATACTGGGCATATAGCTCAAAGTCCACAGGCCGGCCCAAGAGGGTTTCCTGCTTTCAAGATGGAGCCTGTTCTGTCTGTTTCCTCCTTCACTGTCTCATGTCAATTTCATTCTTAGACCAACCGGAAGCAGCAAGAAGGGTAGAGGAAAACGTCTTCCTCTCCAGCTGCTGAGAGATGGACCGCTGGGCTGGGACTCAAGTTCGGGCACTGGAAGGCCCCTTGCAGGCTAACTTGTTTCCTCGTCTTCGCTCCTGGCAGCTTTCCAGTCTCCTGCCCCTGATGAGAGTAGCAGAGAGGAAGGGAGCCCCGGCAGATGCCCCTTCAGGCTGAAGCAGGTAAGTCCCCCAACAAATCTGAGTGAAGCCTTGAGAGGATGCTACTTGGGCCAGAAGAGCCTTGGGGTAAATGGGTCCAAACCATGCTTGGGGACCCCAGGAGGGGCCGCCAGACTTCCTCTCGCCGAGGTGAGTTATGTGGTCAGGAGGGCAGATTCAGCTGAGTGGACCAGATCCCGCCTGGTGATAAAGTGGTGTCCCAAGGGCACCAACATGCCCACTGGGGTGTTTGAGTCTGAGGGACAGAAAAGGGGGCCTTGGGAGTCATAGGCTGGAAATAGAATTAAGTTTTCCTGAAGAACAGGCTCCCAGAACTGGGAGCCTCACTCATTTCAAGTGGTCTGTGCTCTTGGCTGGTCCTTGGGATCAACCCCAGGGGGATGGGTCTCTTCCTGCTCAGCGATGTGAGCCCCAAGGGGGTTTTTCAACAAGGACACAATCACCACGGTCCCCCTCCCTTTCCCCTTACCCAAAGCTCTTTGCCGGATTATATGCTATAAACATTATAATCACATTAAGTATTTTACTTGTGAGACTACCTATTGTGCCTTTTATAATAACAATAAATCTGGCTGAACGTTTATTATGCCCACAGGGTACCTAATGCCTTGGTAAACCTTCCCTCTCCTATTATACTTTCTGTTTTGTCCTTCCCTAATATGGGATGCAAGGTGGTGGTTTTGCAGACTCCGGTATTAGTTAGAAATTTAATTTTCTTTAAGTATTTGGAAGATTACAGCTGATGACAGTGAATGATTTTTTTCCCTGAAAATTAATATCTGCCGTGGAATTGAATGATAGATAAGGACTGAGATGTTCAGGATAAGAGCAGTAGAAACCTCATGGTCAGAGGGAGGGCCTGCCTGAATTAACGATTGCTCTTTTTCTGCCCTCTGCTTCCCCAAGTAAAGAACTTGCCTCCCTACTTTGTAAAACACCAACTTGACCCCTAAGTGGTTGATTGGAACATGAGTGGGCCCTGACCTAAGACCCAGAGAGGTTTAGTCCCCCCAAGGACTTACTCCTAAGTGGCCTTCCTCATGTCAGAGCAGAGGTATGCTGGAAAAGCTGATGGGGAGAGATAGAATGACAGAGATCTGAAAAATCAGAGCATCAGGAGGGACGATGAGGGAGAAGAGAGACCAGATGTCTCCTCGTCCCTTTCTAAATCCAGCAGCATTCAAATGTACCTTGAGGTTTTGTGATCCGCCACTGTGTTCAAATAACCAAGTCCATTTTCATGCTTAAGCTCGGTTGAATCATTTAGTTCATTTCAGTTATTCGTTGCCAAAGCAGCTTTAATGAACTACGTCAATATTCCCAGTAAAACTACCATGACCACGGGTGTTTGCTGCTGTGGGGGTGAGGGTGGGCTCAGGGGGGCACTGGGTCTTTGCCGCCCGGCTTCAGACTGTCCCATTTATCACATCTTGTGCTTCAAAGTGTGTTTTGCCTTGAAGAGGTTCTTGAGAAGCACAGCTCTTGACCTTGGGCTCCCCTAAGGCACTGGGGCCCAGATACGAGAAACCTAAGAAAAACAGCTTTCTTTTCACAAAGTCAGTGTTGCCTTGTGTTTTTAGAGCCTGAGGCTTGATTGCGCCTTTGGGGGCTGACAGTTCTTTTGTTTTGGAAAAACACCCTATAGGTTAATCAAAGTCAAAGCCCACATCCTGTGTTGGGCTGGAGACCTGGAGGCGCTGAATTGGGCTCTGTAGTTTGGTCAAAGGTTGCGTTCCTCATGGGTGAAATAGCATCCCTGAGAACACATGTGAGAAGAGGCTGGCTGGTGATGACAGGGGGAGAACAGACTCGCTTTTTGTTTTGTGTTTTTCTCTATTCCGGTGGTGGGCCAGAGCCTCTAACACCAACCTGCGTGGGTTTGAGTCTCAGCTCTGCTGTCATTCACGACCCAGTCAGGAGGCATAACCACAACCAAGAGAATTTCATAGAAATTTCACAGGAAGAGTGATCAGTTAGGCCAAGCAGTGTTAACGAGGTGACTGAAAGGGCTTCACAGGGGTAGCAGCCCAAAGAAGGGGCTATCACCACTAGGTCTGAGGCCACAAAGAGAAGAGGCTACAAGAGTTAGAACTTAAGTTGGTAAAAGAGGAGCCCCGTGGAGATGGAAGTCAGACTTCTGAGGAGGGGCCCCTGCCCCGCGTGTCCTGGCGTCTCTGGGTTGAGAGGAGGGGCCTGTGGGACCCAGCTCTCCCAAGAGCAGGGGCTGGCTGCCTATTGCTGGCCTCTTGGGAGGTGGGGGCAAAAAGGGAAGGTTGTCCTGTAAGCCGTGTGTATGTGTGTGTGTGTGTGTAAAACCCTCATGCTTTTTAACTCCCTTATGCTTTCACCCAGCTTTCAGCCAAAGGTGATTGTATCGTGTGTGAAAACCAGGTCTCAGCTGTGTTTTGGAATTCATGGTTGAACCCAAGTCTACGCTTGGGCAACACATGATGGAGATCAAAAGTCGCTTGACAAGGCTGGTTCTAAGATGGCTAGAGGTGAACTGTGGAGGAGTGCAGCTGAGAATCAGGTCCACAGCCAAGAGTTCGGGATTAGCAGACACAATATATAACTTATATAAGAAAGATAAACAACAACATCCTACTGTATAGCACGGGGAGCTATACTTAATATTTTGTAGTAAATTATAATGAAAAATATGAAAAAGAATATATATGCATATATTTGGGTAACTGAATCACTTTACAGCATACCAGAAAGTAACACAAACATTGTAAATCAACTATACTTCAATTTAAAAAACCCAGAAAATAGCAAGTTTAGGAAGGACATAGGAAAAAAGGCTATATCCAAAAGAATTATTCAACCAAATTTACTGATACAGTCCTGGAAACAAAACTAAAACCAGCATAGAATAAATTTTTTAAAATGAAAAAAACAAAAACCCCACAAAGCAATTTTACTATAGATATGGGAAAATGATAACATGATATCGTGCCAAAAAGGAGGCACATGAAATTCCTTGTGTAGTGTGATCTCAAAATTACCCAGAGGAAAACTTGATGGGCATATATTAAACTGATTAACTTTGTACTGCAAAATTATGTATATGGTAAGACTACATCCACGGATGCCGTGGACATGAACTTGGGCAAACTTCGGGAGATGATGAGGGACAGGGAAGCCTGGGGTGCTTTAGTCCACAGGGTCGAAAGAGTCGGATATGACTGGGCGACTGAACAAGACTCTATTAAATCAAAAAAGAAAGAAAAAAGAAACTTTGGGCATTCTGGTAGCAGGAAAAATATGAAAGCTATTAACAGAAAACTTCTGTGATAAGTTAAAGGAAGAGGAGGCTTTTTTCCTTCAATTAAATTCTGTGAGAATTTTTTTCATGTGGAAATTTCATGAAGAGAAAATAAATATCATCTCCAATGCCTTATGTATAGATTTATACTTATATTAGAAGTAAAATGATTCATTATTAGAATACTTAGAATAATTTATTTATTTATTTATTTTGTAAAGGCCTTTCATAAAAACCAAGAGCATAATGTTAAGAGTGAAAGTCAGTGAAGGTTACATCTGGGAGGAAACACACTGCAATAAATAGGTAAATTTTTGAGTGGCTAACCTGGTCCAAGAATAGATCCTGGCTAAGCATTGACTTAACCAAGGTCACAGAAGATGCTAATGGCAGAGCCGGAATTAAATCTTGTGACTTGATTTTTCAGCCTGACCATGCTACCCATCCCCCTACCTAGCCCAGAAGAAGAAATGGAACTGACTTCAGCTTCTATGGTCAACATCCATCACTGACTTCAACCCCTGATCCCAAATGTCCTACTACTGTATACTCACCCACTTCCCCCCTTCATATCAAACTACTTCTTAATTTCAAACCCTATCTTTCTTCAGATGAGTGTACATTTGTGTGTATGTGTGTGTGTATTTGTGTGATTGTGTGCTTGTGTCTCTTAGGCTAACTAGGCTTGAAGACATTCAGACAATATTCTGTATCCAGATTTTAGCCCCAGTAGGCCAAACTGCAAACACTTGTCTTTCAATGATTAATGGAGAGAAATTTATGTTATAACTGATGGGAAATTTAAAAGATGCTTTTAATATAATTAAAAGTAATGTCTCTATTGGCTTTTAACTCTTCTCCAAGCCCAGTATTGGCTTCTTTCCAGAACTAACACATCTCATCCAGCAACTGGAGAACGTATTTTAAGAAAAAGAAAAAAAAAAAACAAAACTTCCAGTTTTGAATTCATACTTGATTGACCAGAGTGTAGTTTGTGAAATTTAATATTAGGTGACTCTGTCTTGAAAGATCACTGGGTTGCTCCTATTAATATTTCCTTAAAATCCAGAAATATTTTAAAGTAGGAAGAAGCAGAGAGTTTCATCTAAACCTGTCTCTTTTTACAGTTGAGGAAACTGAATCTAGAGAGGTTACACCATGTATAACCACTGATCCTGTGATTTTCTTTTTCTTTCCCCCTCATTCTTTCATTTCAAAAATAATTTTTGAGTGTCTATTATGTGTCAGATGATGCAATGCCTCCTAGAGTTAAAAGTGAAAGCCTTGGTCATGGCCTTAAGAAATAAGAAACCAGGGGAGCGTGTGTTAATGAACATTAATCTGTTTTTTAAACATGTTTTTATTGAGATATCATTGACATATAACATGTTAGTTTCAGATGTACAACATAATGATTTCATATTTTTATACATCGGGGAATGATCACCACATAAGTCTAAGTTAACATTATCACCATATATAATGTTGACTGAAAAAAATAAAACAGACAACCTAAACATTGAGCCTTATATTTTTTATTTGATGCACAAAATTGGAGACTTCAGCCTGGGACACAGCATCTCAAATAATTCTGAGACTGCTCTGAAGAGGAAGAGGGGAAGCCAGGATAAATAGAATTTTCAGTGAAAATCAAACAAACAAACAAAAAAAAACCCAGGCAGTTGGAACCTCCAAAGATTACTGTTAATAAAAGAAAAGCAGATACCTCAAGTTAAGGAATTTAGCAATGACCATCAATCTACTATAGCATATGTTGCATGGTTAACGTTATATTCCTAGAGTTATAAAAAATGAGGGAATAGGGAAATTTGCCTGGGCAGTCAGGAAACTTTTCTAGAATGGATGATGTTTTATAAAAAGGTAAGTAGGAATACACCTACTTCAGAAACAAGAAAAGAGTATTTAAGGCAGAGGAAATGAGGCATATAGGATAGGTTTGTGCTCATTTGGGGGATACCAAGGACTGGCTTAATTTGTAGAGAGTGATTGGGGGTCAGATCGAATAGGTCAGCTCTGACGTCATTGAGGAAAGCTTTATAGGGCCAGCTAAGTTCCATAAGCTTTATTCTGCGGGTAATGGAAATCTATTGCATAACGTTAGGTAAGGAAATAGCATTCTACACTTTCACATGGGTCTGCACTTGAGAGGAATAACTGGGAGCCCTCGAAGGAGGAAGGGCAGCTGGAAATCGAAATGATGAGATAATGAACTCGGCCAATACGGATGCACCTTACAGAGAAGGAGGAGGTACTTAGGAGCTTCGGATTGGCAGGACCTTATAATGATGATGAGGGATAAAAAAAAGGGAGCAAACAAGGGGAAATTGAAGCTTCTGTTTTGAAGGTTCGAGTCTTGGCAATGCCGTATGACTAGGCTGTGACTTACATGGAAAGTGTGGTGGGGGAAAGCTTGCATGTCGTGTTAGAGCTATTCAGCTTACTCATGAAGGAACATTTATAGGGAAGATACACAGGAAGTAATTGAAAATCTGTGTCTTCAGCTCAGAAGAGTCTGGGCTGGTGTGGTTGATTTTGTAGTCTTTAAAGAAGATGAGAGTTAGGTAAAGAAAATAAGGAAAAGAAGTCTAAGAATAAGCCTCTGGGGGATTACTGGAAGAGAGGAACTAGTACAAGACGTGGTTCGAAAGAGTTATTTATGTGGTAGAAAGACAGTGATGGTAACTGTGATGTTACTATGCTTTCAGTTGCTATTAACAGTCAAAGAAACTCAAAATGACTGTTAGGATAAAGTAGACTTATCTGTTCATTTAGTGACAATAGCAACCCCAAACCCCAGAGGTAAGTAGAACAGGAAACAGGTGTTTTAGTCACAAATCCAGTTGCATTTCTTTCTGACTCTCTCAAAAAGGTCATCCCATGGATGTCAGGTTCATCCCTGGACTCCTAGGAAGATGACTGGGGCAATGTCTGATTTCCTATCTGTATACAACTGAGGCCATTCTACCAGTGGCTCTATCTCAAAAGGGAGGAAACTTCTCCCAGTTCCCATCAGTCTTGCAGTGACCTTTCGTTGGATGGACAGACCTGTTCTTGAGCCAGTCTCTCTGGCCAGTGCAATTCTATAATCTTGTTGCATTAGGCTTGGACTTCTGAACTGATCACTTGCTTACAAAGTAGAGATTGGGCTGACTTCTGTTAGTGAGAGACTCATTGATTTCTCTTTTGTCTCACAAAGCGCAAGCCTGTTGAAACCAAAGAAGGTGAAGTGGAATGGTTATTAGGCAAGCGGATGCCTGTTAAGAGGGGGCATCCCCGGTGGCTCAGATGGTAAAGAATTCGCCTGTGATGCAGTAAACCCGGATTTGTTTCCTGGGTTGGGAAGATCCCCTGGAGTAGGAAATGGCAACCAGTATTCTTGCCTGGAGAATCCCATGGACAGAGGAACCTGGTGCGTTGCAGTCCATAGGGTAACAAAGAGTCGGACACGACCGGAGTGAAGTGAATCAGCTATATGTATACATTTATCCCCTCTCTCTTGGACCTCCCTCCCACGCCCCTCTGTCCCACCCTTCTAGGTCATCACTTTCACTACCTGTTAAGAAAACCAAGGGAGGAGAGGGTTTCAGAATGAAGGAGTGGTCATTCATAGCAACAATTGCAGGTCAGGGACTGCCCTGACAGTCCATTAAGACTCCATGGTGCCAATGCAAGGGGCACGGGTTTGATCCCTGGTCAGGGAACTAAGGGGCTTCCCTGGTGGCTCAGAATCATGCCATGTTTTAGTTTTTAAAAATTGTTTTGGTATAATGAGAAATGGACACATTTAATTTGCAAGGTCAGGCTTAGCAATATTACATGCACTTTGTAATTGCAGTGTAATTACATTAAAAGGCAAAGGCAATCTTCTTTGAGTATGGCCAACCATTTAGAAGATTGGTACTGGAAAGCAATAGGGCACATTTAGTCAATGTCAGGCTATAATGTTTCTAGATTTCTAAAGTGTAAAATCTGTTTTCAAACCCTAAGATCAAGAAGAATTTAATATTATTAATTCTGTGATAATAATAATAAATACATTCTTCTGTGGCTGCTACGTACCTTTCAGTTTTTAGGGGAAGTCTAGGAATGACACCCATTTCATTTTCACTTGTATGTATAGCACTTTTCACAATTCATTCCAACTTCTCCCCATAATGATCCTGTCACAATCATCCTGTGAATTGGGAATACGTGATACTATCTTTATTTCCAAACAGGAAACAGACTCCTAGAAGAGCTGCTGAGTGAGAGTTGCCAGTTATCTTGTATGGGGACCTGCTGCCTAGGTTGCAGCAGTTCCACAGCGAGTGGAAAACAGGATATCAGAGCATGATGCTAGGGAATGTGATGCTAGGACCATGTTGAAACTGGGAGAGGTGACTTCTTGGTTAGACTTCTAGGTCACTCATAGTGTACCACGTGGACTGGGGTGAGGCTTCCAGAACTAGCTGGATGAATGAGTGACCCGGGTTCAGGCTGAGGATGAAAATGTCCAGAAAGCTTGTTTCACAGAGTGCCAAACTTGGGAGTGATTGATGGATTGATTTTTATTGGAGGAAAATTGTTTCACCATGTTGTGTTTCTGCTGTGTTAATCAGCTATATGTATGCATATACCCCCTCCATCTTGAGCCTCTCTCCCAACCCCTCTCCCATCCCACCCCTCTCGGTCATCATAGGACTCTGAGCTGAGTGCACTCTGCTATAGAGCAGCTCCCCAGTAGCCTTCTATGTTGCCCATGGTAGTATATATGTATCAATCTCAATCCCCCAGTTTGCCCCATCCTCCCCTACCCGCACTGTGTCCACATGTCCATTATGTATATCTGTGTCTCTACTCCTGCCCTGGAAATAGTTGTATCTGTACCATTTTTCTAGATGGGAGTTCTAATATGCCCTCTCCTTTCAGCACAAGGATGCCGAGGCCCAGAGAATTACGAGCTGGGTGAGGGATAACGTCTTCTGCAGTAGCCCCCTCTCCTAGCTCAGTGCTGTATCCACTACTCTGAGTTCCATCCATCTTGGAGCTCTCAAGAGAAAGAGCATAAACCTGACGGGAAGACAGGTGGTGTGGTTCAGAATCTCCTCTCCCATCAAAATCCAGAGGATACGGAAAGAGTTATTTTCCTAATGCCAAGTGAACAATTGGTCTGGTCAAGTGACTCTATAAAGGATACTAAAGTGGAAGAGAGTCAAAGCCAGGAGGACATCTCAAAGTGTCACTTGTTGTGAACACTCTTGGTGCATTACGAAACTAGGCATTGGGATATGTCCTACGTTCTCTGCAAAGATACTAAAATCTTTGGAGGTTTTCTGTAGTGTTGCTATAATTTGTCTAGATCTGGGGAGAGGCAGTCAAGTTTTTTTAAATTGCAGATACTTTCCAGTAATGGATAACTCTCTTTGGGGGGTTGGGGGTGGAGCCAGAATGCAACTTCTGGCTGATTTATTTCCATTAGAGCAAGAAACAAAGAGCCTTGTTTATTATTAGT